CAGCAATCCCAGCAGCACCTCCACCGGCAGCAGCAGTAGCACGAGTAGCAGCAGTAGTAGTAGTAGCAGCAGCAGGGCAGCTCTGTGGGGCTGGGCGGCCGCACCTCCAGCACTCCCAGCAGCACCTCCACCAGAAGCAGCAGTAGCACGAATAATAATAATAATATTATAATTATTATTATTAAGGGTTTAGGGTTGCGAGTGGCCCACGGGCTGCAGGGGCGACGCGCGGCTCGGCAGGGCGACGCGCGGGCTGCAGGGGCAGCGCCCACGGGCTGCAGGGGTGACGCGCAGCTCAACAGGGCGGCGCGCGGGCTGTAGGGGCGGCGCGCGGCTCGGCAGGGCGGCGCCCAAGCTGCAGGGGCGACGCTCGGCTCGACAGGGCGGCGCGCGGGCTGCAGGGGCAGCGCCCACGGGCTACAGGGGCAGCGCCCACAGGCTGCAGGGGCAACGCGCGGCTCGGCAGGGCGGCGCGCAGGCTGCAGGGGCAGCGCCCACGGGCTGCAGGGGCGAACTCGCGGGCTGCAGGGGCAGCACGCGGGCCACAGGGGCAGGCACGGCTGCAGGGGCAGGCACGGCTGTGTCAGAACTAGCAGTAGAAAGTAAGAATGAAGAAAGGAGGGGGTTTCACAAGCAAGCAGTTGGATACATATAGCAAACCCTAATTGGGCTGTACTCACTATGGAGTACCCCACTGCAGGCTAGACAATAATAACATTCTGACACACCCCCATAGCCAAAGTGGGGTGTAATCAGCACAATGAGCAGTCATAGTAATAGTTCACAATTATAAGCAAAGCTAGTGGTAGTCACAGCGGGCAAGTGAGGAGGAGGAGGGACTGTGAGAGGAGAGAAGATGGGAGACGACGGCTGAAGCTGCAGACACACGGGCAACAGGAGCGGCTGGCATAGTGGCTACCGGGACAGCGCCCCGGACTACTGGAGTAACTGGCTCACGGGCTACGAGGAGCTACAGGAGCAACGGACCCACAGGCGACAGGCGCAGCAGGCTCTCTGGGCTACCAGGACAGCGCCCCGGACTACAGGTGCTGCGGACGACAAGACGGCAGCCTCCTCTCAGCCTCCCCAAACAGTCCCACCCCCCCTGACACACACCCCCTGCTTCACCCCTAGCTCCACTCCCCCTTCACCCCCCTAGCACCACTCCTTCGGCTCCCCACACACACACCCCCCTGAGCGGCAGCTGCAGCAGCGGGAGACGGAGGAGGAGGAGGAGTAGGGGACGGCGCACACAACGGGCACCCCCACAACCGCCACCTTCACACTCCCCACCCCCAAACCCTAAAACGGGTGGCATGGGGTAGGAGCGCAGGGGACGGCGAGGGGGGGAGGCGCGCGGCCCCCAGGGCGCCACCATGGGGCAGCGAGGGGCCGCGCGCGGCCCTGCAAGGCGCCGCGACGGGGCAGCGGGGGGGTCGCGCACGGCTCCAGGGGCGGCTCGCGGGTCCCCGGGGGCGACGAGAGGGTCGACGGGGGTCGCGCGCGGGTCCCCGGAGGCGACGCGACGGTCGACGGGATGCCGCACGCGGGTCCAGCGAGTCGACGCGAGGGTCGACGGGGCAGCGGGGGGGGTCGCACGCGGCTCCCCAGGGCGGCGCGACGGGGTGGCGGGGTGACACGACCACCGACGGGGCAGCAGGGGCAGCGCGCGTGTCCCCCAGGGTGCCGCGACGGACAGGGCGGGGGCGCGCGCGGGTCCCCCACGGCAGGAAGAAGGCGTCGCGCGACCGAGGCGCTCGACAAGTAGTACAGCAGCGGAAGCATGAGGTGGTGGGCCCACCCACAGGATCGACCCAGGAGGGTCGACCTGCTCTGATAGCATGTCAGAACTAGCAGTAGAAAGTAAGAATGAAGAAAGGAGGGGGTTTCACTAGCAAGCAGTTGGATACATATAGCAAACCCTAATTGGGTTGTACTCACTATGGAGTACCCCACTGCAGGCTAGACAATAATAACATTCTGACAGGCTGCAGGAGCAGCACGGTCGCAGGGGCAGGCACGGCTGTAGGGGCAGCACGGTCACAGGGACGAGTACGGCTGCAGGGGCAGCACGGTCGCAGGGGCGAGCACGGCTGCAGGGGCAGCACGGTCGCAGGGGCGAGCACGGCTGCAGGGGCAGCGCGGTCGCAGGGGCAGCACGCGGGCTGATAGGGCAGCGCGGCTGCAGGGGCAGCGTAGGAAGAAAAAATTTACGGTTAGGGCAGGGCGGAACGTTCGGTGGGCCCTAGGAACGATTCTGCTCTTATACCATGTTAGAATAAGCAGGCAGGGAAAGGTGGACTAGGTAGCATGCATGAGTACAAGTACCTAACCCCTAAAGTGTTGTGCCCCTTGTAGGCTAACCCACTATAGCCTAGAGAGAACACAAACATACAGTTTGACATGGGCCACGATTGGAATTGGCTTGGGCGCGCTCCATTGCCGCTACGTCCGCGACGGCCTGTTTGAACGGTCGTGACATGAAGACGCTCTTGTCTTCGTAGAGCTTGAGCCTGTTTGCGGTGCGGAAGTTGGTGTAGTCGGCGACGTGAAGTAACTTGAAGCGGTTGGCGATGAGCGTGAAAGCTTCGCCGAGGTATTCGAGGGCGCTCTCCGGCTCGTTGCTTCGCACCTTGTGCTCCGCGTGCTTCAGGTATGCTCGCAGGTGTTCCAGAACCTCGGCTTGCTCGCGTACGGCGGCGTTCTTGAACGAGGCGGCGGTGAGAGTGGGATTGGGGGAAGGGAGCGGGGGGGGGTTGCTCAACGGGTGCAAAAGCGGCATTTACGGCATGTGCCTCACCATCGTCGTCGTCTTCATTGTCGCTGTCGGTGGGGTTGTTCGTGACTGGAGCGGCAGCAGCGCTGTTGTCTTCGCCCCTTCCGGTTTTTGTCGTGCGAGCGCGCTTCACGGACTCCGCTTTCGCCTTTTCGCTTTTAGCCGAATCAGAAGTTGCGTTTGGTGTAGCGATTTCTTCAGTAACAGCAGGGGCCTGCTGCTGTAACAGGGTCAGCAGCTGCTGCAGTTGGGCTGCAGTGAAGTTCGGCGCCAGACGCCATTTGCGCGTGGGGGCCCACAGGCGCGTCAGGGCCCACATGCGCGTTAGGGCCCACAGGCGCGTCAGGGCCCTGAGGCCTGCGTCGCTGACGCGGTCGCGGGGTGCCAGCTGCGCTGGTTGGCGCCGTCTTGGCGCCTTCTGTCGTGGCCGGCGCGTCAGGGGCCACAGGGGCTCGAGGCACATCAGGGGTGTGTGCCTCGACGCCAGGAGCGTGTGCCTCGGTCCCGCCCAGCATAACATCGACGCCAGTCGGGGGAATTTCCCCGTCGTCTGCCCGACGCTTGTTAGGGCGATTGCCCGCGATTTCGTGTGCGTTTCTTGCGGACTCGGGTCGAGCGGGGGCGGTAGCGGTATTAGACTCTCCGCCGTTAAGTGCCATAGTTGCTGCGTTGTGCGCGAAAATGTCCGAGAGTAAAGTGGACGGGGACTGGAAGCGAGGAAGAGACTTGGTCCTCGCCAGCTTGAGTGTGGGAGATGGAAAATTGGCTAAACCGTTTGAAAATGAGAGACGTGGGTGGAGGGAAATGACCTACAGCCCACGTTTTGTACTCCAAAACGGGCGTTTAGCGCGATTCGACTCTGCCCATTCCTACATTACAAACAGTTTCACTTTCAAAATACAACATTTTGAAAAGCGTTACAACTTTTTAAAATATTCATTTCTCTAGGAAGAGGGGGGTCTTATAATGTTAGCCCCCATTTAGGGGGGTATAACAAAAACGACCTATTTAGCGTACCCCCCTCCGTATTATAGACCCGGGGGTCTACAACTGGAGGGGGTCTTATATCCGGGGTATTACGGCATGCGTTTTTTGCATCAAATGATTAGCACTGTGAAACGGCAATTCAGGTCTGTGGCCACTGGCCAGGCCGGCAATGTTTGCATGAGGGAAGAAAAACGGTTTGTGAGAAAAAACAACCTGCTTGTGCTTTGTAGAGCCATGTAATCAGTTCATAAATATGCACGTGCCGCTTGAAGCTGTTAATCAAATTGGAGAAAATATATATAACAGACGTTCAAAGGCACGTTCTGAAAGTTGATTACACGATAATCTCATAACGGAATATTTGCCCAGCCCCGATCACCTCCAGCCGTCAGGGGTTTCGCCAGACAAAGTGCGGAGTCGCGTCCAACATGCACAATTTGTGGGCTACCCCACACACCCAGCCTGTACCCCCCACACACACGAGAGCCTCGCAGAGTATGGGAGAGAAGGCATCCAGCCTCTCTCACTCTCGCAGCTAGTGGCTTGTTGGTGGCGAACAATGGGATCGAGCCGCAACACAGGCTATCAGTGGCAGCTGTTTTCGCCAGCCAGCATGCCAGTTTCGAATGTGTTGTCTGGTTACCACGTATCTCCTCGTTTCCAGTGTAGCAAACAATCATAATTGCGCGAACACTGTTTCGTGATGGGCCTGATGGTCGAAATCGATCCTGAATTCTGATTCGCCGGATCTTCGGCCCACCTGACAGTTCCCATCGGCCTCCCCGCCCATCATGGAAAATCGAAAGGAAAACAAAATCTTCGGCCACACGCTGTGAAAGGTGCGTGAGGGTGTGCAAGGGCAAATCTGGCAGTGTGCCAGCATGGCGCCTGAGTCCAGGTGCTTTTTCCTCCAGCTCGCTCAACCAAAGCTGGTTTCGCTGGAAAATCTGGCGCCACTCTCTGGTTGCTCGAGCCGCAGGGAGCCCCTATGCTGGGAGGCGGAATTCAGCCCCACTTTCTTCGGCGACATGTAGGAAGCAAGCATTTCCGCGTCGCATCCTACAAATATTCCCACACCTCGAAATTGTGTGTCATTCAATCTTCCGTGCTTCGATTACGCAACAAGCTCTCTCATCGGCAAAAGTTCAAACGTCACTCGACAATCGAATAAGGAGCCATAAATCAAGCGCGTAGAAACACAACGGTCCAACATAACGTCTAAAGACAGCGACACGCAATGGCATCAATGACATCACCAGACGAAGCGAATATCGGCATGGACTCTCCTGCCGGAGATATCGAAGCAGTCGTGGGGTCGTTTCTCAACCTCCCCTCCGTCCCCGCTCTGACACAGCCCACCGAAGCCAAAGCCGCGTCGGCCGAGCCAAACACCTCCGCTGGCGACGCGAACAGCGACGAGTGCGAAAGCAGCGACGATGGCGACGATAGCGAAGACGGCGACGACGCAGGCGACCAGATGGATCTGATGCTCGCGATGATGCGACTGCTGCAGAAGCAGATGCCGAAAAAGAAAAAGGCGGCGGGTGTTAGCAAGAGCAAGAGCAAAGCCAAGGCGAGTGAATCCGCGGCGCCGCTGCTGAACGGACGGGGTTCCTCCATGGATCAGGAGCAGCTGCTCACCGTCCTCTCTAAAGCTCTCTCCACTATGGATTCCCCCGACGACGAGCCCGCGTCGACCCCCAAGCAGAAGCGCGCCAAGCTGAGCGCCGCTAACGCAAAGCCCGCCGGCCCGCGCCAAATGCCGCAGCTGGCGCGACCTAGCGCTGATGCTGCCGCGCTCGCGCAGCAAAAGGCGAATGTGGGAGGGTGCGCCGCGGAGGGGGGCGAGGATACGATTCTGCATTGCTTCATGGATCAGCTGCCGCAAATCGACGGTCACCTTGACGCGATGATCGCGGCGGCAGATGCGGCGGTTGACCCGCAGGAAGCGCAGCCTTCGCCGACTGAGCACGTCAGCAGCAGCGCGGGGGCGAGCGCTAGGGGCTGCTCCGCGCAGCCGAACAATGCGCGCGACGACGGCGCGGGTTCCGGCTCTCGGTTCCCGCCGCCTAACACGCCGCATTTCTCGGCGCACGAGCGACAAACGGGGTCATGGGACGCAGTCAGCAGCAGCAGCATGGATAGCTCCGCTGCCGCCGCCGCAGCCGCCGCCGCTGCAGCGCTCGCGGTTAACTCGCGGAAGCGCAAGTCGGGGGAGGACGAGGGGGCGTATGCGGGCCACGGGGGGAACGGTGAGCAGGCGGCGATCAGCAGCCGGTCGGCGTCAGAGGCGCGATGGAACGGAAACGGACAGATGCAGGAGTGCCGGCCGCTGTCGCTGCCACACGCGATCAGCAACGGCCCTGTGGTTGTGAGCAGGCAGCAGATGCAGCAATCCGCGTGCAAGCCGCCCCTTCTATCGCTCCCTGCCGCCTGCCTCGCCGCTCCTGGCTCTGCGCCTCTGCTGCGCGCGCCCGTCTCGAATGCGTCCGCCGCTTCCGCTCCTCCTCCCCCGGCCACCCCGCTCCGCATGCTCACCGTCCCTGCTGACGTGTCTCCCACCGCAGCGCCCATGGCGCGCCCGAACGTGATGGACAGGTTCGGTGGTGTGGGGGAGGATTTGTCGGCAGAGCAACCCCTGGGCTTTCCTGTGAGGTTTGGGAGCAAGCGCATGGACGATGGTTACACTGACGGTGCTGGTAACCACACAGCTGGCAATGGTAGTCACGGATACAACGACGGTGGTAACGGATGCGACGATGGAGGCATGGGTTACGATGATATGGGCGGAGATGACATGGATGACTGGATGCCGCGCAGCCGCGGGCGCAAGGACCGGCAGGTGGCGGGCGGGCGCATCAAGGCGCGGAGCATGGCGGAGAGGCAGAGACGGGAGAGGATCAGCGAGGGGCTGCAGAAGCTGCGCATGGCAGTGCGTGGCCATGGGGACACGGCCACCATGCTTGACAATGCGGTCGCATACGTGCAGGCGCTGCAGAGGCGAGTGACATCGCTCGAGACAAACATGCTGCTGCACCAGGCGTCCTGTGGGGGTCTTGGTCAGGCTGGGGGCGCACTGGGCGGTGGCAATGGATCCAACTCCAATAACAGGGGCCGCCATGCTAATGGCTTCATCAACCCCTCCCAGTTTGGTTCTCTTTTTGGCTTGGACGTCTGAGTCCAAGGTTTACTATAACAAATAAATGGATTCCCTGGGTATCAGGGCTACCTACTTGGAATAAAGTACACCCTACCTTGGTGTTGTATTCTGATTTACTAACTTATATTACTAGAATTTCAATTAATTGTGGCTCTATATGGATGTACGCACCTCATTGTCCCACTACGACAAGCCATGCAGTATGCTCTTGCGCAAGATTTAGGGCTGTTCCTACGCTCTTATCAGGCAAACCTCTTGTCAGCCTTGCCTGGTAAAAGTAGCGAGGGTTTTCGGGTTTAGGGAATTTTCAGGGGGAAAAGTAGCGAGCTTGATAAGAGGTTGGCCTGATAAGGGGCCGTAGGAACACGCCCTTACATTGTACGTGTGAGGTATGAGGTAATTTGACAGAGTTGAGTATGTAAAGGAGAGTCTGAGATATACGGTAGCATTAACATACCATGCAGCATATCTCAATTGAATGAAGGGAATTGCGTGTTCATAACCAGTAAGTTAATTCCAATAGAAAGTCCAATCAAAACAGGAACTATCTTCACAGCGAAGAACCTTAACTCGGTAGCATGATGCCGCAAATGTGTAATTTCTCATCAGGTGAACACCATGTAAGGTTTTCAGTTAGGGAAGATCGGTACGAATGCATTTTTTTTTCTATTTAAAATTTAGGAACACGCAAAAATTCATTCATTGGCCAGCATTACGGAATGAACACCTAGAATCAAAAGTGGGGTATGTAATCACAGTGTGGTCTTCTCCTTGCCGTATTCTGAACTCCTACCTCAGTCTAATTGCAGAACTTCCTATACTGGGTGCCACAAGTTTCCAGGTTCGACTGGAAAGAAATGTTCAGGTGTTTTGCCTGGTTGTAGGGTTCCAGCTTTCAGGCAAAAGTATGGCAGTGGCTGGAATTGCAATTTTGCAAGCAATGGGGATCCGATTTGCCTGCTCCAATTCGCAATGGGTGTCAGAATCATGGCTGCAGGCACATTTGCGGCTTTCGTTCAAAACACCTGGGTCCTGGCACGAGGTGGCCATCGGCTGGCTTTGATTTCGCCAGGAAAAGAACGGACCAGCGTTCCGCAATCGTAATTAGGGTCACACAAAAACCAATCGCGACATGGTTACTGTTGATCAGTCTCGGCAGGCTACAGTATTAACAAGATTCTCCCCCACGAGGCCAACGAGGCGAATCATGCGCGTACGGATTTGATGCATCACATGACAGCAACTGGTGGACAGACTGACATGATGTCAGCGTCAGTTCAGGTCAGGTGGTTCGCAAACTGGCGTGACAAACCACCCAGCTTGCGAAGCTTGCGTCCAAGCGAAGCAGGGTCGTAACCACTCGACTTCGCCACAAGACCCGCTTGACAGCCCCTGCGGGTCTGCTGGGGGGACTTGGCACAGCCTTGCGGGAACTTTTGGAGGTTTTCGCTGGCTTTCGCAGCCAGCGGCAAGCTTGGCAGGCGAAACTCGAGGGGGCAACAGGCTGTGCCTGCGACCATCAATGCCCGCCGCCAAGCCTCAGAGCACAGCACGGCGAACGAGACTCCCATCCGCGTTCTCCAGCTGGGGACATCCACAGACCCTTCTGCTTGCAATGGCTTCCTATAAATTGCGTGCCTTCCAGCTCCAGTTTCATTATTTCAGCAGCACTCAGCAGGCACATTCTCGCTTACGCAGTTCTCCTTCGACACCTCCCACCCACCATCACTAATCGCTCTGATCAACCGCGTTCACACACAGATAAAAAATCCCGACAATGGCACTCGCAGAAATTGATCAGTCGCCTTTCGAGCACCTGTTCGACTTAGAAAGCATGCCCGCGTGCCCCGACAATGGAGACATAGACGCGGCAGTCGATTCGTTTCTCAATCTCCCTGCCGCAGCCTTTCCGTGGACCCCCAGCGACAACAACGCCGGGGCCCTCAAACCCGAGGCTCCAGTAGCCGCGAATCTTGGTGGTAAGCCCGCCGGGAAAAGCGGCGGGAAGAGCGGAAAAGCGAAGGCGAAAAAGGCGGCGCAGCGTGAGACGCAGAAGCAGCTGCTCGCGGCAATCATGGAGGCCCTCGCCGACTCAGACGACACCGACGAGCCGTCGTCGCCAGAATCCCCCGCTGCCCCTTCCCCCGCCTCAGCAAAGCGCGCCAAGCAGGCTCCCGGCGACGTCGCGTCGTCCCGCCGGTTACCGCAATTGGACAGTCTGAGCAACAGCAGCCCCGCGAGCAGTGGTAACCCGTCGTCCGCGCTTCTCGATTCCTTCCTCGGTCAGCTGCCGCAAGTGGATATGCACCTTGATGCGATCATCGCCGCACTTGACGGGCCGGCAGCCGACGCGGCGCAGCCGGCGGCGGGTCAGACGGGGAGCAGCAGCGCAGCAGTGGCGCAGCTGCGGGCTCGCAATAACGAAGCAGAGAGGGTGCTTATGCGCAGCAGCAGCACCAGCAGTGTGGACAGCTCCGTCGCGGAAGCCGCCGCTGCCGCCGCCGCCGCGCTGGCCGCAGGGTCGCGGAAGCGCAAGGCATCGGAGAGCGAGGTGGTTTCCCCCGCTGCGCCCGTTGCCCCTAGCGCAGCCGTGGGCAGTAACGAGGCGGAGGTTTCCCGCCAAATGCGCCGCGCGCTTGGCGCTGCCATCCTCCGCAGCGAGCCGTGCCCCGCGGCCGCTGCCTTCCCCGCTCCCGCGCCTCCTCCGGCCGCGCTGCCAGTGGGTAGTCACGCCAACCCCGTTGGCAGGACCCTCGCCCAGCACGGACCGCTGCAGATGCCCATTCGCCTGCCCGCCGCTCCTTCCGCCGCGCCATCGCCGCTAGCTTTCCCCGCGCCTGAAGCAGCCGCTTGCATGAACAATGACAACTCAGATGATGACATGGCGGGCTTTGGCGGAAGCCCAGCGTGCGGAGGCGCCAACGGAGCGGCGGATGACGCGGATGATTGGATGCCGCGCAGCCGCGGGCGCAAGGACCGGCAGGTGGCGGGCGGGCGCATTAAGGCGCGGAGCATGGCGGAGAGGCAGAGGCGGGAGAGGATCAGCGAGGGGCTGCAGAAGCTGCGGATGGTAGTGCGCGGCCATGGGGATACGGCCACGATGCTTGATAATGCTGTCGCGTACGTGGACGCGTTGCAGCGCCGAGTGAGCTCATTGGAGACCACTCTGCTGCTGCACAAGGCGTCGTGCAAACACCCTGGGCAGACTGATTGCGCCCTGGCCTCACCTGGAGAATCTTCTGAGCTGTTGTAAGCTAATTTTCATCTTGGATAGAATTTTAGCGTTAGCAATAGATGACTAACGAATAAAGCTGGATACGTTTTCGTGTGTCAATAGTGGTTGTATTTTCAATGTATGATATTGTACCATCACGAAAATCGATATACATATTGAACTGACAAATGTGGCTTCAGACATCGTGTATTCAATTCTACCTGAGCCTGACATAAGCTCAAGGTCTGGTTATGTGTGAATGTGATCCTTGTACCGTAGATCTACGGACAGGGCCAAGGATATGGTGGACAAGTTCGCAGCACGGGTCGCGTGAGCAGCTACAGACGGAAAGGAAACAACAGAATAGGCACTAGAACTAGAGCCTTCTCATCCGTGCCAGATCTTGATCTTCCTTCAGTTCTTTGACAAGAGGTTGCTGGCATTAACCCTTTCCCAACCCAACGAGCAAGAAAAAGATCCGCGAAAACGGTTCGCGAGGATGAGGCTGAGAGAACCTGTGTACATCAGTCGTCGTCAACTAATCAACGAAGGGGATCGCTGGTAACCCTTGATTCGCCTGACATCTCTCTCCGCGCGCAGGGCCCTTTTGTAGTTCCCCCATCCGGACTTGCCCCAAAGCAGCGCAAGAGCTCTGATGCGCAGAAGTACCTGCGGATAAGAAGCCTACGTGTGTATTGCCATACTCCAGGTGACAGGTGACTGGCCATGTCGCTCATCTCAGGTCGAAACTCTTTTGTGGTTTCTGTAGCTTTAGTATCACGGGTTGGAAGCAAATATAGAAGGAATCCACAATGCTTGCGAAATTGATATTTCCGTCGCACATTTTGATGCAAAATCCAGCTTCAGTTCTAAGTGATATTTTGTTCACTTTACGCTTAAGCTGCCCGTTCTCCAATGTACTGCACTGTATCACCCGTGGAGTGTGCTGCAGTGATTGTCCCACAATCCCTGCTTTCCTTTTGCTGCGTCACCCAGCCTCGCGCTTCCTGCCTCGGCGAAAAGTCATCTTCGTCGCAGCCTCAGTCGCAACCAACCACGCACTGCCACGCATGCATCAGATCTACTGCCCCTGCAAAAGTACATCTGGATTGCTGGTCGCCCGACCGACCTTGCCCCCAGTCCTCCTCACCTGAAGCAGTGCAACCCTGCAATGCAACCCACGAAGTGATGATATCCGCCCAAAGCGCGGGACATTCTGCCCGCATTTATGCAAGAGTTACTCTTTATTCAGCCCCTCGAGTCCCACCACCCAGCAACATCATTCACAGCCTCACTCCACAATCTCCCGTGCATCCCTGCCTCTTGCAAACAAATGCTCATCGCGTGCAGCCGTGTTTACCTCTTTCGCCAATCACTATGGCATCAGCACCGCATTTGATACTATCCGACGACACTGACGATCTCATCCGGGCTCCAGACGCCGCAAATGCTGCATTGCCGTTTGCCCCGAAGCTCGACAACGCGGATGGCGCCGTCGAGGACGGCGACATTCACGCCGCAATCAACTCGTTTCTCGCTATTCCCAACAGCTTCTGGGACTCATCTCTTCCTCCTTTTCTGGCGGCAGAACCTTCGTCAACCTATGAATGCGCGGAGGCCGCGAGAGACGCGCTCAGAGTAGCGGCGGACGAAAGTGGAGGCAAGCGGCGTAGCGACGCGGCTGCTAGCGGTCTAACGAATGATAACGCGGCTTGCATTGGCGACGCGAAAGATGCGAATGCGACGACGACGATGACGCAAATTGCGGACGATATAAAGCGAGAAGCCGCGGAGCTGCTGCGACGGAACAACGCCAACTCCGAGTCGCTCAAGCGTCGCGCGCTCGAGCGGCCTCCGCCTTGCGGCGGCGGCAACGCGAAGAAGCAGAAGCAGCAGCAGAAGCAGCGCCACAAGGCGCAGCAGAATGCCAAGATCCTGTCGGCGCTGCTGACGGCGCTCGCGTCGCTCGACCAGTGCTCCTCCGAGGACTCCGCGGACGACGATTCCGCGCCCAACACGCCGTCCCCCAAACGGCGGAAGGCGTCAGGCGGAAAGGCCGCCTTGGCGGCCACCGCTGACGCGCACGGCGGGAGTGGCAATGCGACGGAGGCCCCTCCGGGGACAGAGGGGTGGCCGTCGTCGTCCGAGGCACCGCGTGTGAGTGCGCAGTCGGCGCGGAACGACAGTGCGGACGAGGCCAGCGCAGCAGCACACGGCAAGTTCTCCGCGGCGACGGGACGCGGAGCGAGGAGCAAGGTAGCATCGCTGCCGGGGCTCACCTGGCAAGGAGAAAAGCAAGCTCCCGTTCGGGTCTTGCCGCAAGGCTTGGCGCAAGGGGCGACGCGCGCGGAGGAAGCACAGGACGCATGGAGCGCCAAGGACGAGGTCCCAAAAACCCAAGGGAATCCACAACGAGTTGGCACGGGCAGGAGCCTTCTGGACGCGTTTCTTGCGGACCTGCCCGAGATTGACGGGCATCTGGACGCTGTTATGACATCGCTGTGCTCTGAGTCTGCTGCTACGACTGCCTGCACAGGAGGTGCTTCCAAGAAGAACAATGCTGCTTGCACGGGTGTGGATGGAACGGAATCTCCTCTCTTGCAGTCATTCTCGCAGCCTTCCTCTCACCTCTCTCCACCCAAGACTCCCATGCTTAGCCACACGCCGGGGTTTACGCACGCGCATGAGAAGCTTCAGCCTGTTAATGAGACGGGCAATAACGAGGATGAAGGCTATGATGAGGACGACAGGCTGAGCACCAGCAGCATTGACAGCGAGGATGCTGCGGCTGCTGCAGCGGCAGCTACAGCTCTGGCCATGGGGACGCGGACCAGAGTGGCAGAGGAGAAGAATCTTGCGCCTGAACCGAAAGCAGGTGCTCCGTATCCAGACAATGTGGCTCGGATGAAGCGTGGGGCAGGGCAGCGACCTCCTCCTCTGACGCTCCCTGGTGCTCTAGAACCTGTTTGTAACGGCTCTCCATCGTCTCTCGGCAGTCCGTTTAACCAAATAAAAGCGAGCACACCTGGTAACAGAGACTCGCCATGTGCCATGCCTCTTGGAATTGGGACACCATTCCTCTCTCCGAGGTATGGTGCTGTGGGGGGGAATGATGTGGACGACTGGATGCCGCGCAGCCGCGGGCGCAAGGACCGGCAGGTGGCGGGCGGGCGCATCAAGGCGCGGAGCATGGCGGAGAGGCAGAGGCGGGAGAGGATTAGCGAGGGGCTGCAGAAGCTGCGGATGGTAGTGCGCGGCCATGGGGACACAGCTACCATGCTTGACAATGCGGTCGCATATGTGCAGGCGCTGCAGAGGCGAGTGACATCGCTAGAAACAAACATGCTGCTGCACCAGGCATCGTGCAAGATGAAGGAAGATGGGGTTGACCTTGCCAATGATCGAGAAGGATGTAACCTGGAATAAAGCTGGTATCCAAGGGGAGTGGAAATAAGTTATGCGAATAAATGCTGGTTTGTTTGTTGTAACTTATAAACGTTAACATGAATTGTCTATTCAGTGCAAAGATTAGGAACCTGAATTGTCCAAGTCAATTCAATGACGCGTTTCACGGTGGTGTTTGCATTGGCCCTCGAGATTTGCGACGTGTTTCTGTTGTCTTGCCGGTGGCCCCCAATCTAGACGAAGAGTGGACGGATGAAATTGTGTTTTTGAAAAAAAAAACACGCATTCTGTTCCATATCGCTCGGTGACATGACAATCCATTCCGTGGCGCGACAGAAATCTAGTTTCAACGATTGCCAGCCTTCAGTGTCGTCAAGGCGGACTGATCCTATCAGCGGGACTCCTTGAGCCCTTTCCGAGCCTAGTTATGCCTAGTTTTATCTGCAATGATGTAATATTGCTGACCTCTGATTAGACTTATCGTATCAGGATCCCTGATCAACTCAGAGCCCAGAATCGAGAGTTAAGTCGATGTCAGCGCTCCCCACTATTTCCAACATCGCTCGTTCACCCGCGGTCTCGAATGCTATTCCCAATGCCTCCGCTATTCCCCCGTCCGCCGCGACTCTCCCATCCGCTGGGACTCTCCCATCCGCTGCGACTCCGCCACCCGCCGCGACTCCGTCACCCGCTGCGACTCCGCCACCCGCTGCGACTCCGCCACCCGCCGCGAATCCACCGCCTAAGGCGACTCCTCCGGGAGCCACCGTGATCGATCTCACTCGCACGTCGTCGTCGCGTCTCGTCGCACGCGTGTCGCATCTGCACACGATGCTGCGACGAGCTGTCGCATGGCAGTCGCAGCATCAGCAGGTTCTGCTTCGGAAGCAAAGCCAGCAGGATCCGACAGCAGCGGCAGATGCGACAGCAGCAGCGGTTGCGGCGACAGAGTTATGGAAGTCGCCAGGAGGTCGAGAGGCCGCAAGCACTCTGAGCAAGACGCTGCTGGACGTCTCCAGGTGATTATGGCGAGAGGTTGCTTAGCTGGTGAACATGGCGAGTAGGTACGCCTCTCTCGGTTAGACGACAGGTACAGGGATGCCTACGCTCCCTCCTTCCCATTTACTCCTCTCATTTGTTCATACCATCTGCTCCCATCAGGACCCTGGACGTGGCACTCGCGACAGAGCAGCGGCTGGAGGGCAAGGAGGGCGACTTGATCGATGCAGTGAAGATGGTGAGTGGATGCTGAGAAGATGGCCACGTGATAAAAGAAGTGTTTGAGACGTCTCAAAACACAGAGCAGCGGCTGGAGGGCAAGGAGGGCGACATGATCGATGCAGTGAATATGGTGAGTGGGTGCTGAGAAGATGGTGACTTGCGTCTCGTGCACTCCTTGTCACAACGGTTTCAGAACGGACGTTGATGGTCGCTTTTAATGCCATGCCATGCGATGCCATGCCATGCCATGCCATGCACAGAGATGATCAACATCTTAGTCGTTGCATGAGAATTGTTCAAAAACCGCCTCATACATGCCTACACGAGCACTGCCCTACGTACGAACTTCACTCTGCAACAGCCACTTCGTGAATGTCACTAATGCCATCACAGATTAGCAAAGTCAAAACCCCTCTTATCCTCCACTCCACGGCAGGCCTGTCTCCTCAACTCTGCCCCATCTCTTCGCCCCGCGGTCACCGTCCTGATGCTCTCTGTCAAGGTAATGGCCCCCTTTGCGCTCTTGTCCCTCGTCTCCTAGCCCTCCTGGCCCTTCCTGTCCCTCCTGCCTCTCTGTTCCCAGTGGCATTCCCTTCCCTCGCTTGCACCCATTCTCCCACTCTCCCTCTCCTCCACTCTTCACAACCTCCTAGCCGCCCTCCTCATACTCCACTTTTCCTCTACCTCTCCACTCACCCCATCCATTCCTGCAAGCTCCACTCCACCTGCCCCACAAGTATCGACATCCCACAACATTCCGTTCCACCCTCCTCCTCCTCCTCCATCCTTTCACGCTTCTTCCCCCACCGCCCCATCTCTCGTTTCCCCCTTGTCTGCCATCACGCTCCATCTCCATTCATGCCGGGCAGCAGTAGAATCTGGGTGGTTTTGATAATTCTCAAAAGCGCTTCCCCTCCCACCGCCCCATCTCTCCTCTCCCACGTGCATCCCCACTCCATCCGTGCCAGGCAGCAACGGCTGCTGGGTGGTTCTCAGAAGACCAGCAAACAAGCTTCCGAGGTTTCTGTGATATTGTAAGTTCCTAGACCCCACCCGTTCATCGTACACGCCAGTGACTAAGGCAGTACACATAATATTTATACTCGCTATAGCCTGCAAGCCCTAGAAGCTATTGGTGTACGTCCCATACCCTAACCTGCAGGCACTGGGATGGGAGGGGGGTTTTATCTTCTTCTTTGGCAGGCACCAAACGAAATGTCTCACACTCCCATTCGTCCCCCTCCAGGCTCTGAAGCCTTTCTCCTCCTCTCTCGCCCCTCGCCCCGCCTCTCTCTCCGGTTGGCTGGACGAAGCTCCAGGTCAGCCCCATGCTGACGTGGCAGCCGAGGAGCTGAGGGCGCTTAGCAGGGAGGTCGATCTGGGGGAGGTGATGCATACTGTGGCAGGGTGGGCGGAGGAGGAGGGGAGGGAGAATGGGGAGAGAGGGGAAAGGGGAAGACAAAGGGAGACGTTAGGGAATGCACAGGAGAGTGAAGGAGGTGGTCGGGGGAGAGGGCAAGGGGGAACGGGAAGAGGGGGAGAAGGGAGGGCAGAGGAAAATTTAGGTGCAGCAGAGGGTGTCGTTGGTGGTGGGAAGGGGAGTGCAAGCGTGGGTGGTGCCCTGCCGCTCGCCACTGACCTTCTGCTGGAGCTTGTTGTGAAGCGGTGCGTGCACTGTGCTTGCATATAACTGCCTTGTACCCCACGTAGTACCTACTACCTGCCCTGCCGCTCGCCACTGACCTTCTGCTGGAGCTTGTTGTGAAGCGGTGCGTGCACTGTGCTTGCATATAACTGCCTTATACCCCACGTAGTACCTACTACCTGCCCTGCCGCTCGCCACTGACCTTCTGCTGGAGCTTGTTGTGAAGCGGTGCGTGCACTGTGCTTGCATATAACTGCCTTGTACCCCACGTAGTACCTACTACCTGCCCTGCCGCTCTCCACCGACCTTCTGCTTGAGCTTGTTGTGAAGCGGTGGGTATGTTGTGCTTGTTTGTAACTGTCTAGACCTTAGCCTAGTCCCTTCCTAGGAAGCTTGTTGTCAAGTGGTGAGTGCTTGCATGTACCTTCCTAGTACCTTCCTAGTACCTTCCTAGCACCTCCCTAGCACCTCCCTAGTACCTCCCTATCACCTTCCTTTCCCAAGTACCTTCCTAATACCTACCCATGTGTGTGTTACCCTGTGTTATGTGCGTGGATGAGTTTGTCTCAAGTGCGTGCATGTATGTGTGTGAGTGTGTCTGTATGCTATGTGAGTGCATGAGTGTGTGTATGCATGTCACGTGTGTGCATGAGTGTGCGTATGCGTGTCATGTGTGTGCATGAGTGTGGGTATGCGTGTCATGTGTGTGCATGTATGTGAGCGCCTGCAGATTCCTCCCTACACTGAAGTTAGTAGAAGTCTGCACAGCACTCACAGTACAAGTGAGTGCCTCTGCCCACCTTCGACAATACGTGTTCGTTACCTTCACTTTCACCCCTACTTTCTTCCCCCCCTTCCCCCCTCCTATCCCCATTTACCCCACCTTAACCACCCAACACATGCCTGCCTGCCCCTTGCTCGACTTCCTCATTCATATCACCCCCTCTCCCCCCCACAACCCCGCCCATGCTCTCGCCCACACCGTCCTCTTCGCCCACCCTCTCTATCCCCCTAACCCCCAAATGCCTGCCTATCTCCTCTCTTCCATCCCCACCACCCTTGCCCTCCATGACCCTTCCACATCAGCCAGTCTTCCGTTCTCTCTCTCACTCACGACTTTCTCGTCTCCCACCCACCTTCTTCGTCTCCCCAATGCATGCCTGCCTCCCCCTCTCCCTTCCATCTCTCCCACCCACCCCCTCCACCTCCCCCTCCCACCAGCCAGGTTTCCATGTTCTCACTCACGACTTCCTCATCTCGCACCATCCCAAGCCTCCTTCTTCCTGAATGCATGCCTGTCCCCCCCTCTCCCTTCCATTTCTCCCACCCACCCCCTTCACCTCCCCCTCCTGCCAACCAGGCTTCCATGTTCTCACTCACGACTTCCTCTTCTCGCACCATCCCAAGCCAACTCCTGTGACTCCACTCCCCGTTCCACTCCCCATTCCACTCCCCGTTCCACTCCCCAAACCCACCCCCCCACCCGTCCCCCACCAGCCAGGCTTCCATGTTCTCACCCACGACTTCCTCGTCTCACACCATCCCAAGCCGCAGCAGAAACTGGTCAGATTCAATCAACCTTTCCCCTTAAAGCAATGCACTAGTGCATAATTATCGTATCAGGTAACACGCTCACCCATCCACCTCCATCCTACCAATCTCATCAAAGCGACCCATCCATGCATGCATCCACCCTTCCTCCCATACCACCCACCCCAAACATATCTCCCATCTCTTCCAAATCTCTCCCATCCTTCCAATCTCACCCATCCATGCCACCCACCCTCCCATCCCCCATCCTACTACCCGTGCATCCCACCAGCGTTTCTTCTCCATCCAAACTGACTTTGTCAACTCTGCTGCCAACCGTTCATCCTCGCATCACACCCACCCATTCACCCACGCACCCTCCCACCTGTGCATCCCACCAGCGTTTCTTCTCCATCCGAGCCGACTTTGTCAACTCTGCTGCCACCCTCGTCTCGCCACCTCAAGCCAGGTCAGTGGCGTATGCGATGTGAGCAGCCTATGCCATGCCATGCCATGGCTTGGTTTCGGGACATTCTCGCGCTGAGTATCATGCCTTGTCTCCCAGCACACAGGCAGTTCAGAATTCTGTGCCTTATCATACCCTTTTCATGCTTGGGCTGCTCTCGCTGTATGGTGATGTGATGCTGATGGCATGATGCTTGCGTGCATGCACTATGGCGTGCTGTGCATGTTCGTGTGATGCATCTTTCGTGCATGATGGCATGGCATGGCATGGTATGGCGTCGTGAGCAGCATACTGCTGAACGCCAAGGAGGTGCCCAACAGAACAGCCATCGACCAGGTAATGTGCCGACAGCCGGACTCGATCCCTCAACCACATTAGGAGCACCACTTCCAAATTCTCAGCAGCCACATCCAATTTTACCTTGTTCAACTCTGCTTACCTGTCACCTTCGCCTTCTTTCCCACCTCTCCGACCCCTCCCTTTCTCCCACATCACCATCATTCCGAGGCTTGTTGCTGCGCCTTCTCTTGCTCCCCACCCTTCCCCGATACCCCCTCCCCTGTGCCACCTTCTATCTTTCAACATCTGTACCACGCACGGGACCAAACCCCTCTTGTTCCCCTCCCCTCTTATCGCAACCTTCCTCCAACCCAACCAACCTCTGTTTCCTGACCTACCGCCTGGCCTCTCTGCAACCTCCCTTGGCAGGATCGCTCCCCGCTGGTACCATCTGACGTCATCAAGCTTCTGAGGCTCGGTGTGAACATCTTGAACCTCATTGGCCGCCTCTCAGGTACGGCATGAAAAGCTCGGCTTTTCTTGAACAGTCCTTTTTTATTGCTGCAGCAAAACGTACATTCCACGCTCGTTTTCACCCCTTCCCCGTTGCTCTCCTCCCACTCATTCCTGCTGTTGCCTCCACTCACTATCCTTCTCCGTCCTCTCTCCCTCCCATCCCTCCCCTCTTTCCCCTCTCTCCCGTCCTTCCCCTCCAGTGCCCTACAAGCTTATGGTGGCAGTGATGGCATCCACCCCCTTGCTGACTTTTGCGTCCCCTCATAAGTCCCCTCACCCCCTCCTATCTTATCCTCCCCTCCCCTCTCTCCCCCTCTCTCCCCCTCTCTCCCCCTCTCCCCCCCCCCTCTCCCCTCCTCCCCCCCCAGTGCCCTACATTTTTGTGGTGGCTGTGATGGCACCCACCCCTCTGCTCCCACCCTCCATGCTCAAGCCCCACCCCTCTCAACTCAAGCCAACTCCTCCCCACCCCACTCAATCGTCCCATACTGCTCAAGCCACTGGAACCAGCGTCGCACCGGCAACCACCGCCAGCAGCCTTTCTACCCTCTCGTCCACAACCCCCTCTGGAGAACTCTCGAATGGTTTGACAGCCGAGGGGCAGGGAAGCGGTGGGAGAGAGCAAAGAGAGCAGCACGGGCAACAGGCAGGGCAGGAGGAGGAGGAGGAGCAGGAGGAGTTGCTGGAGGGACCAGTTCGAGTGTCGCTCTTGTGTCCAATCAGGTGACGCCATGTGTACCATCAAGTGATGTGATGTACGTACGCATGAAGTTGCTTTGGTGAAAGATGCCTGGGTAAATCACGTGCCATCTGACCTTGCTCAATCCTTCGTATTCCAACCCTTCCTATCCCAACCACTCCCATTCCGACCGCTGTTGCCTTGCCTGACCTACCGCCTCCCCCTTTTTCAACCTGCAGTTGGTCCCGCATGAAAGTACCCGTGAGGGACCGGGCGTGCTCCCACCCTCAGGTGAGATCCCACGTGGACATTCAGGTGTTTTTACAGGTTAGCTGAACCATCCAGGGTTTAGTTTCTGCTCCGTTACTCCTCATATAGCAGCCATGGCTGAACGAACCCCATCACACAGAGCCTGCATCCCTGCATTGTGCTATCAGCTTGACTAGCAGCTTGTGAGTCGACTAGGAACTATCCTCCTTCGAGCGATTGTGACTGATACAATGGGATCACACATGTGGAATGCAATGCACGTAGAATGTGTATGTGAAACATGATTTTATGTGAGGATGCACCCCCTCACAGAGTCCCCGCCCTGGGTCAGTCTCCCACTTAGTGCTTGAGATTTTTATCAATCCAGCAGTTGTGACTAATATCGGTTTGTATGCCTTGTTCCCTCCATCCCCTTTATACAGTGCTGCGACTACAGCAGTGTGATGGCAATCAACGAGCGCAAGCCTATGTGGAAATGTCCCACGTGCGGTGCTGACATCAGCGCCACGTCACTCTGTATCGACAATCGTATGGTGCAGGTAAATTCTCTCTCCTCACATGACACGTGGCTTCCAAATCTCGGTGCATGTGTGGGCATCAAAACATGCCATGTGAGCATGCATGCATGCATCGTGCTGGGTACATCGTACCACTGAGCCTTGTGCTGGTAACAACATGCACAGCATCGCATCAGTCACATTGCAGGGTCAGCATGCATGCATAGCATGCTGCTCTTGACACATTGCAACCCAAACTGAAGTATCTAATATGCTGCTCCTCCCGGATATGCTGCTCCACATGGCTCCTGACAGCTTCCTATCACAGCCTGCACGCCCCTCCACAATCAACTGTTTCACTCACTCTCAAATATAAACTCTCCTCCCCCCACCCCGACCAGGTACTATCAGAGAGACCACGAGCAGCACCATGGCCCCTTCCCTGCTCGCACCACGACCAAACCGCCATGTGCTGCTCTTCCGTGATGGTTCGAGCTGACTTTTGTGTCGCCTCGAAACTTCTCTCGAATATAAACTCTCCTCCCTCCCCCCAGCCAGGTGCTATCAGAGACAACAGGTAGCACCGACCACACCGATGTGCTGCTCTTCCCAGATGGTTCGAGAAGCTCCCACTCAACCTTTCCTCCTCTCCCACTCAAACTTACCTCCTCCCCTCCCCCCAACCAGGTGCTATCAGAGACAGCAGGTAGCACCGACCACACCGATGTGCTGCTCTTCCCAGATGGTTCGAGAAGCTCCCACTCAACCTTTCCTCCTCTCCCACTCAAACTTACCTCCTCCCCTCCCCCCAACCAGGTGCTATCAGAGACAACAGGTAGCACCGACCACACCGATGTGCTGCTCTTCCCAAATGGTTCCTGGCAGCTTCTACCCCAGGGAGCAGGCTTCTCGCCCTCCCCAGCCTCCCCTCCCTCCAAGCGACGCCGACTCGATGCTGCTGTACCTAACACCCTGCTCCCATTGCCCGCTGCTGCTGCACCTACTGCCTTGCTCCCATCACCCGCTGCTGCTGCTACTGTGCCACCAGCTGCTGATGCAACACCAACATCTGCTGATGCAGTGGCAACACGTGCAGCAGCAAGGGAAGTGGAGGGATCAGCGTCTGGGGAGGACCAACGAGAAGGCATTATCGACCTGACAGATGCTGCTGATGATGGCGTGGCTGGGGGTACCTGGGGGGTAGAGGGTGATGTGAAGCCGTGGGTGGGTATCGGACAGGGTCAGGCACCTCATGTGGGAGAGACAGCAGGCAGGGCAACTCAGCTTATTTCCCCACCCCCATCCCACATGCTGCCTAGTATGCCAGGACCTGCTGCTGCTGTCTTTCATGCTGCTTTCGCTGCTCCTATTGCTGCTCCTATTGCTGCTGCTGCTGTATCTCCTGCTGCCCCTGCCCGTGGTTCAACCCATGGCTGTGCACCTGGCAACCCAGTCGCCCCTTCCCCTTCACTTGCTCTGTCTGCTCCATGCAACTCACATGCGCCTCCTCGTGTGGCTGCCCAAACTGCCATCCACTCACTGGCCATTCCCGCACGCCCTGCTGCTGTCATGCCGCCGGCTCCTGCTGCCACACCCCCGCCTCCTGCTGCAGTGCTCCCTGCTGTTTCCACAACACCCGCTGCTGTTGGTACCGCACCTGCCCAGTCTGCTGCCGCACCAGTTACCGGACCTGCATCTGTGAGCTTGCAGCAAGCGCGCACCCATGCACCTTCCCATCAGGCCCATCCTCCTGTGCCCGGCCACCCCCTGGGCTCTCCTGTTGCTGCCAGTGGTACAGCCACTCTTGCTACAGCCACTCCTGCTACAGCCGCTCCTGCTACAGCCACTCTTGCTACAGCCACTCCTGCTACAGCCGCTCCTGCTACAGTCACTCTTGCTACAGCCGCTCCTGCTTCTACCACACTTGCTACAGCTGCTCCTCCTGCTTCAGCCATTCCTGGTGCTCCCACACCTGCTGCGGGGTCCGTCCAGACATTGTCGCACCAGTTGTCAGCACGCCATTTGTCGATCAGAGGCAGTGCTGAGCTGGCATCTCTGGGCAGGTCACTTGCTGCTGTGGCAGCCTCAGCACTTGGGGGTGAGCGAGTAGGGAATGAGGGTTCAGGGGAGTGTGTGAGAGAGGGGAGTGGAATTGGTGATGTGAGTGGATCAGTAGAACAGGAGGGGAATATTGTTGGACAATCGAGACAATCTACACAAGCTAACCTTCAAAGGTCTACAAGGGGTGGTGGTGGTGTACGAGGCTCAGATGTTGGTGAAGTGCCATCACAACCAGACTATGATTTGTTCGATGAACTGTTTGGTACCGAACAGAGCTTCCTTATATGATTCTGTCATATATACAAGCGTTTATACAGAGTTTATGACAGTACAAAATTTTGCGTGTTAATGAAGAACAGTGAGTGGCCTGCTTCAACGCGATTGAGGGCTTATGCTAGCCAATCACACTTCAGGCCTTCGTCTCGAAGAATCGTTGAAATCTATTCGTTCTGTCCAGCTGCCACAACAGCATGGATGTTGGATTGTCTCTCGTCGCGTCGCTAGCATGTCATCAGCGTTTGCGGCCACGCCGCTTCCCGCGCCTGCTGACATGGCCACTGCGGCCCTCAAACTTTCCCGACCGCGTGTGACTTTGAAACCCGGTTTATCACGCAAGCCTCGCACGGATTGTGGGACACGGCCCACGGGCCAGGCCCACAACTCTGCAGGAGCAGTGTGGCTCTCCATTTTCACCTGCCCTGAAGTGTCGCGGTTCGCCACAAAAACAGGAGATTTTGCTGGTTCTTGAATGGCAAAATTGCAGGTTCGAGAGACACTGCTTCCCCCCCAAGTTGTCGAATCGAAGGCTGCGCAATTGGCACTCCGCAACTTGCCCGCGCCATTCCCCTGAGCTGAGATCCCTCCCCCGACCACCAACGTCACGTCATGGACAGGTCACGTCAAATGCACCCGCCACCATTCGTTCCCCGACCTGGACGCGAACGAAACCAAGGGCTTTGCGCGCGCCCCCATTTCCGGCAATATCTTGTGGGGGCAGTACAAGTACAAGCATATCGGTCGGGACGGGTCTCTGGTCATGGTTCATCCAATCCGTGTCGCTGGCGGGACAATAATGCTGCTCCGCTGGGATTTCCGCATGCTGCGCTAGCCTCTCCGCCAATTACCGTGCCCAGCCACGACAACCCCCTGTCGGAACGGAACGGAAGGGAAGCTGGTGCAAGAAGGAAGCTAGTCCCCCATAGCGGGAGGGGGGGAGGAAGGAGGCAGGGAGGGAGCAGCAGCTGTGCCGAGTTTGCCACAGGAAGGAAAGGAAAGGAAAGTCAGAAACCCAGGGTACACAGGTCGGGACGGGACGGGACGAGACGGGAGAGAGATGCAGGGACAAGAGGAGGAGCACTACTAACCTAGATAACAGTTCCCAAGGTCAATCATTGTTAGTGCTGCTCTTGAAATTCGAGTACTGAATGCTTACACAGGATGGCGAGCATTTCTGAGCTCCTTAGCAGATAGTTAAACGGTGTTAGTGCCTCAAGGTCCCTGAAATCATATAGCTAGGGCATAATTTTTTAGTAGTATCCGCACATGGCTTCAGTTTCGCCCTCGGAATTGCATCTTGCAGTGCTCTCAGGCGACTTAAAGGTGACTCGAAAACTCCTTCGCGACGGATGGGACTCGTCGGGACGCGACGGTTTCGGTCGCACGCCGCTCCAATGGGCCGTGATTCTCGGTCACGAAGACATCACAAAGGCTTTGATTGTCAACACACCGCTTCGTTTCCTCCACTCTTCAGACCGCCATGGCCGCAACGTCCTGCACTACGCCGCCGCGCAAGGCCGAGCAGAGCTCCTCCGCGTGCTGATTCAGCGCGGTGGAAACGTCAATTCTCGGGATTGCCTTCAGAAAACCCCTCTGCACTTCGCCGCTGCAGCCGTCGATCCGTTTGTAGCGGAAATTCTGCTGGAGAAAGGCGCAGATCCGTCCTCCTTAGACGCGAGTGGATTAAGTCCATTGGACTATGCCGTTAGATACGGGAGCGTGGCTTGCGAGAAGCTGCTTCGGAGTACTACGAAGAGTAATAAGGATTCCGTCGACGGAGCGGAGGCGAAGAGAAGCGCATCGACCGAGCGCAGCGCGCGACACCCCATGGCCACTCTGGACGCAAATGTCCCGCTTTCCTCGGCAACTCGTCCAATAACGGCTTCAGAACCACCACAGAATCCAGCAGGCACGGTGTCTTCGTCGTCTTACTGTCGCTCCACCTCCTCAATTCACTCCGCCTCCTCAATTCCCTCCGCCTCCTCGAATCTATCCGCCTCCGCGATTCCCTCCGCTACCCCCACCTCCACGAATAAAGCCGCGCCGGCAGCATCGGCGTTGGAGTCGTTGCTTGACGCCTGGAAGTCGTCGTGCGAAAGGTCTCGCCTTTGCGACTCGCAAGCGACTGCTGCGAATAATGCGACAGGCGATCTCTCGTCGCCGTCGAGAATAACCGTCAGCACGCCAGAGGCTACCGCTGCACCCGTGCGTGAGCAGTGCACGGCGGGTGATCCGCGCGCGTCCGCCATGGAGTGGACGCCGTGCGGCATAGTCGGCTCGTGCAACGGATCGTGCAATCAACTGAACGGGCCGTGCGGCTTGGCCGGACAGGTGGCCTGGCTCGCGGCGGAAAAAGCCAGCCGCGCGGTTTGCTGCTAAGCGCATTTGACGCATCACCGAATAAGTTATCCAGGCGCTGTGAAGGGAATAATAGTGGCGACGCATAAGTGGACGGTCAGATTGTTGATATAGTCGCTTTACGTTCACTGACTGTTCTCCTCGTGGTCGTTGCCACTCGCCTGTTCTTCTGTTTGAGTACTACTGAAGAACTCAACGGCCTTACACTCTTCCGCCACAGTACTGCTGTTGAAACTGTACGACCTTATACTGTTCTTTCGTTTTAGCACTTCCATCTCTGCCGCCACGGCGCATCACCGGACTCTTCTCGTCTCGGGACTCATTTCAAGAGCCGTAGCTATGACCTGTGCGGTATAAATGTGGGCACTATGTTAAGATCCAGAGGGTGAGAATCACCATTGTCAGATGTGTTCTGTATAATGTTGTATTACCGTACTTATGTTTCCTTCTCTCATCAAGTTTTTAGAATCCAGCCAGCCGGTATCATCATCTTTCCACTAGAAATGCATGAGCCAATAGTGTACAGTACAAGCACAAGATGGTTCTATTTAGGGCGCGTGTCTTTTGGAGTGTTTTGTAAGTTCATTTGTTTTGTTCAACTTTCTCCAGTTGAACTTTGGCCGTCCTGTGGTCGACCATCTCGACTTTTGGTGGTCGGGGAGCAGCGTCAACAAACCCGAGTCGCGCATGGAACAACAAAATTCGACTATCAAAGTTCAACTTAAAACAGTAAATTACGAGTCGCGCTAAGCTTTCGTAGGTTACCTGGTTTTGCGGCTCAGTTCGTCACCTTATCCGGTTTCGGTAACCATGTTCGATATACCTCGTTACGATCGCAAATCTCGCTGATTCTTCGTGCGTGCGCAGAAGAACACACGATCGCATAAACGTAAACGTAAAATCCGAATGCAAGGTCGACTTTAGTTCAGTGTCCAACTTCTTTCACACGGTTTGAACTAGGACACACGATGTCCTGGCGATTGTTCTGACGAGAACTACGAAACGGGTTACCAGCAAAAGTTCAACCATTTTTCCGAACTCTACAGCAAAAGACACGCGCCCTTAGCATCGAGATATGCATGTCTGACAAAGGAGTACTCACAGTCTACATGCGCTGTGTTGTTGCATTCCCAATGGGAATACTCCCTGCATTCCTTGATTCTACCAAGGTGTGAGGAAAATTCCTTTTCCTTACTTCGCGTCCCTGCTCAAGCGCGTACACCACTGTAGCACCACAGTCAGCACCGTTACCACTTGCAACCCTCGCATCGACAATCGTCCCGCCACCTTCGCACGTCGCACCCCGACCTCACGGCTCGGCGGGTAACCCGCGCTCCGGGCCTCCGCCTCGACATTTTCCCAAACCTCGGTTCCAGGCCCGTCGCGCGTCACACACAGTGTCGAAATTAGCTAGGAAGGAATGACTATTAGGTAAGAGGGAGGGGGTACAAGGATGTCGAGAGAGTTGGGTTGTACCCTCTAAGGTGTGACCCCTACACAACATAGAGTAAGATTAACATAACAATGTGTTTTGACACACCCCCATAGGTGAAGTAGGGGATAGCCAAACCTAACAGTGGTTACAAGACCAGTCAAGCAAGAGAACAAGCAAGGCAAAGCCCAGGGTGGATCTCAAGGACAACACACAATCTGAGCACAAGCAGGCAGCCACAAGGCCAGTTCACATGCAGATTTATAATAGCAAGGCAGTACACCGATCACAACCTAGCAAGAGTAAACATGCAGGTATAAATATATATACCAGTGTACAACAAGAGCAAGTCAAGCAACTAGCAGGTGAGGCAGAGTGGGCACAAGCCCAAGAGCAGTGCAGAAACGCTGATGATCACCAGCCCCAAGGGCCTTGGTGAAGACATCAGCAGTGTTGGCCCGAGAGGCCACGAAAGCAAGGCGCATTTGACCACGCTGCTGCAGCTCACGCGCAAGAAAGTAGCGCAGAGCAATATGCTTTGTTCTGTGCTCCAGTCTCTGCTCGTGACACAAGGCAAGCATTGCCTTGTTGTCGACGTACAGAACTGGAGGAGAATGAGGCCGCTCCCCCAAGTCGGTCAGCAGGTAGGTCAGCCAGCGGAGCTCCTGTGCAGCCATGGCCCGAGCGTAGATCTCGGCCTCACAACTGGAACCAAGCACAGAAGAAGAACGAGTGGACCTCCACGAGACAGAACCAGCGCCAAGACTGAAAGTGTAGCCCTGTCACGAACGCTGAGTCGCCTGGTCGTCGGCCCAAGAAGCGTCAGAGTGTCCTGCGGGGACCACCGAACCCCGTCCCCCATGCCCAATGTGCTGCACAAGTAACGCAATACCCTCTTCGCAGCATCAAAGTGCACCTTTCGGTGCCTACCGGGTGCCACGTAGCGAGCCAGAAGGCTGAGAGGGTACGCGAGGTCAGGACGTGTACACGTCATCAGGTACATGAGGCAGCCCACAAGCTCTGGGTACGGACCACTCGGCTCTACGGACTCGTCCGAAGGTGGAGCTGAGAGCGAGTGGCCGGTAGCCAGAGGAGTGGGCTGTGGCGAGGAGTACGTGAAGCAGAAGCGCTGAAGGATCTGGTGCACCATGTGTGACTGAGTCAAGGTGATGGTGCGCCGTGGTCTGTCCCGGGTGATCTTCAAGCCAAGATAGCTGCGCAGCTCACCCAGGTCTGTGCAGGTGTGTCTCTCCTGCAGCTCCGCCTTCACTAAGGTCAGTGCCTCAGTGTCAGCAGTAGCAAAAACCAAGTCGTCGATGTACACGAGGATGTAGAACGGCGGCAGAGTAGTGTCGGTGCGTAGAAACAGCGACGGGTCAACAGTCGAAGGGGCAAACCCAAGAGCCGCAAGTGTCGTCCTCAGTGTGTCGTGCTACTCACGGGGCGCCTGACGCAGGCCGTGTACTTGTCGCCGTAGGCTCCACTGGGTACCCGCAGGAAACGACCCAGTAAAGCCTTGTGGACGGCGCAACCAGATGGCCTCGTGAAGGCTACCCCGCAAGAAAGCTGTCGAGAAGTCGAGGGAGTGCAGCTCGTAGTCACGCTGAGCTGCAACGTGTAGCAACACCCGAAGAGTGGTCATCTTCGGGGTGGGGGAGAAGGTCTGAAAGAAGTCGACCCCCTCACGCTGACTGAAGCCTCGAGCAACGTAACGTGCCTTGAAGGCAGGCGGAGAACCCGGCGGCCGCTTCACCTTGAAAATCCACATGCCACTGACGATGTTCGCCCCAGGTGGGGGAACCTCGTCGACGTAGGTGCCTGTGGACTTCCAGGAAGCCATCTCTGCATCCATGGCTGTCTGTCACTGAGAGAAGTACTCAACCGAAATCGCCTCCCTATAGGAGCGCGGGGTGGGGATGTCAAGTGCATCCGGGTCTCCCTCAGGGGCAAGCAGCATGGTCGCGTGATGGGGTGAAGCGGCAGCAAGGCACTCCAACTCAACCTGTCTGTCCTCAAGAACGTCACAGCCAAGGGCGGTACAG